TATTTTTAGTAGAGACGGGGTTTCACCATGCTGACCAGGATGGTCTCAATCTCTTGACCTCGTGATCCACCCGCCTCGGCCTCCCAAAGTGCTGGGATTACAGGCTTGAGCCACCACGCCCGGCCCTGTTTTCCAGTTTCAAGCAATTCTCCTGCTTCAGCCTCACAAGTAGCTGGGACTACAGGCATGCACCAGCACACCCGGCTGATTTTTTTTTGTATTTTTAATAGAGATGGGGTTTCACCATGTTGGCCAGGATGGTCTTGATCTCTTGACCTTGTGATCTGCCCACCCCAGCCTTCAAAATGCTGGGATTACAGGCGTAAACCAGCATGCCCGGCTGTGGTTTTTAATTATTATTTTTTAAAATAATAGAGATGGTCTCACTATGTTGCTCAGGCTGGTCTTGAACTCTTGAGCTCAAGCCATCCTCCCACATCTGCCTCCCAGTGTTGGGATTACAGGTGTGAGCCCCTGTGCCCAGCCCCCATTTTTTTTTTTTTGAGACAGAGTCTCACTCTGTTGCCCAGGCTGGAGTGCAGTTGCGCGATCTCAGCTCATTGCAACCTCCACCTCCTGGGTTCAAGTGATTCTCCTGCCTCACCCTCCCCAGTAGCAGACACTACAGGCAAGTGTCACCACACTCGGCTAATTTTTTTATATTTCTAGTAGAGATGGGGTTTCACCATGTTAGCCAGCAAGGTCTCAATCTCCTGACATTGTGATCTGCCCACCTAATCCTTTAAAGTGATGGGAGGCTGGAGCCACTGCACCCGGCCCTCAGCCTCCGTCTTTTTGTTTTCTGAGATGGAGTCTCCCTCTGTCACCTAGGGGAGTGCAGTGCCACAATCTCACCTCACCGCAACCTCCGCCTCCCAGGTTCAAGCGATTCTCCTGCCTCAACCTCCTAGGTAGCTGGGATTACAGGTGCCTGCCACCACACACGGCTAAGTTTTGTATTTTTAGTAGAGGCTGGGTTTCACCATGTTGGCCAGGCTGGTTTCGAACTCCTTACTCCAAGTGATCTGCCCACCTTGGCCTCCCAAAGGGCTAGGATTACAGGTGTGAGCCATGGCACCCATCCTGTTTTTCACCTTTTGTGCTATATTTTTTCTGTATCTTTTTTTTTTTTCTTTTTTTGATAAGGAGGTTCACTCATTGCCCAGGCTGGAGTGCAATGGTGCATCTTGGCTCACCACAACCTCCACCTCCCAGGTTCAAGTAATTCTCATCTCAGCCTCCCGAGTAGCTGCGATTATAGGCATGGGCCCCCACGCCCAGCTAATTTTGTATCTTTAGTAGAGATGGGGTTTCTCCATGTTGGTGATACTGGTCTCAAACTCCCAACCTCAGGTGATCTGCCCGCCTCAGCCTCCCAAAGTGCTGGGATTACAGGCATGAACCACAGCTCCTGGCCTTTTCTGTAGCTTTTCTATGTTTACTTACCATTGTGTTACAACTGCCTTCAGTATTCAGTACAGTAACATGTTGTACAGGTTTGTAGCCTGGAGAAATTGGCTCAATATGTAGTAGGCTCTCTACCATCCAGATTTACTTAATTACACAATACACTCTACAGTGTTCATACAACAGCAAAATTGCCTAACAGTACATTTCTCAGAACATATCCCTGTAAGGCCAGGTGCAGTGGCTCACGCCTATAATTCCAGCACGCTGGGAGGCCCAGGTGGGTGGATCACTTGATGTCATGAGTTTGAGACCAGCCTGGCCAACATGGTTAAACACCGTCTCTCCTAAAAATACAAAACATTTTGTGGGCATGGTGACACACACCTGTAATCACAGCTACTCGGGAGGTGGAGGCAGAATTGCTTCAACATGGGAGGTGGAAGTTCAGTGAGCTGAGATGGTGCTATTACACGCCAGCCTGGGCGACAGTGAGACTCGGTCTCAAAAAAAAAACCCTGTAAATAACAAACATATAACTATGTTACACACTACATTAGCTGATTAAAGAGAAAAAAAATCTTGTCTCAAAAGAAGCAGAAAAAGAACTAGTAAGATCCCACATTCACTTGTGCCCCAAAACAAATAGAAGAGCAGGTGTGCTGGCTCACGCCTGTTAATCCCAGCACTTTGGGAGGCCGAGGCAGGTGGATAGCTTGAGGTCGGGAGTTCGAGACCAGCCTGGCCAGCATGGTGAAACCGTCTCTACCAAAAATACAAAAAAATTAGCTGGGTATGGTAGGGGGCACCTGCAATCCCAGCTACTTGGGAGGCTGAGGCAGGTGAATCGCTTGAACCCAAGAGGCGGAGTTCGCGGTGAGCCAGACTCCATCTTAAGGGGGAAAAAAGGCTTAGCAAGGATTCTGGATACACAATATACAAAAATCAATTGTTTCTATATTGCCAAAAAGAAAACAAACAACACTGTCAGTACCGGTCTTGCAGATACACTGCTCCCTGCCTCCCCTGGGCTTGTTCCTGGAGTAAAAAACTGCCAGGCCCTAAGCGGCTACCAAAAGTATCTGGTCCGATGCCTTCAGGTACTGGGGAGGCCTGCAGATCCTACTGTATGCCCACAAGGAGGAGGTCCTTCTCACACCTTTCACAGGCCTAGCCTGGGGCTCTGGTTCTTTCCTCTTTCCCTAGAGAGCTTTCTCGACCTTAAGGATGGCAACTTAGCAGCCCTTGCACAGGGAGAGCTTTCTGGACAGGTTCAACTTCTTGCTGCCGGCTCTCCTGGCTTCCTGTTCCTCACCCTCGCCAGTTTCAAGTTCCTACTGGCCTGGGGAGTGACTGTCTCCTCTGAACCATGTTCAGGATGTGTCTCATTGCCCACAGGGCCAAAAGTGTACTGCCAGGAGCATGGTAAGCAAACTATCTGCACTAGATAGTAGGCAGCCAGCATGTGAGTCTTTTTCATCCCCGGGGACAGCTAGGCAGGTTCAGAGGAGAGCAGAGGCAAAGGGAGAGCTTGGCCACACTGCCAAGTCCATTTCCCCCTGTGGTTTTGCTGGCGCTGCGCACCTGTGGCCGTGGCTGGCACACCTATGTACTCCCAGCGCTGACTCCCATTCAGAGGGCAAATTCTGTATCTGGGTGGACAGGGTCAAAGGGGGGCATTGCAGTGCAAGGTCTCCAGGGCGATCTTGGTCCATCCCACTCAGAGCAGCACCCCCAGCACCTCTGAGAGGCTGGCCAAGCTGGGCAGACAGCTTCTCGGTCAACTGTGCCTCTCAGAGTCGACCCTGCTCTCTCAGGAACTCCAGGCTTGGGCTTGTGGCTCTGTCCTAAGAATAGCCTTTCACATGCTTGCTGGATTTAGGACAGGCAAACTTCATGAACACACACCGATGCGAAATATACTCAACGCAAGGCAGATAAGAACCCCACAGGTTGGCAAAAAGGGGGAAAACAGACTCTAATTCCAAAGAGCAAATGAATGTGTGAAAGATATTTGGTTCAAATTAATGGTTTTATTTCCATCTTTAACACTAGCAGAGGAGTCCAAAACAGACTGATATCCATGGATATAGTTTAAATGTAACAAAGAAAAAGCTGAACTATGTACATTGAAAAAAGGAGAGATTTTTGCACACCAACCTTTTCCTAGTTTGCAGTTTCTGAATAGTAGAAACCAAACACATTAAAAAAAAAAATTTTCTTTTTACCGATTTAATTTAGGACAAAGTAATACAACTTTTATAATCAACCACTTGAGTTATCTTTAAGGATAAAACTTAAAGAAATTTAAAAATGGGTGTTACCATATTTTATTATTGGACTGGCTCCAAGGTTGCCTTGCTCCAAGTCTGGGCATCATGACGTTGCCATGACGCCCAGAAGAAAGTTAATGGCAATGATGTCCAGTCAGAGGGCAGACATGCTACACATCACGACAATGAGAGGTGAGCCTCCTGCCCTCTTCAACTCCAGGTAGAAAATTATGATTTTCATTCAAACTAACTGAGCCCAACGGTTAAAAAGTCAGAATGAAGAATAAAACAATGTTCCTTTCACATAGAGGAGGGACACTCCTTCAGCCCCATTTAAAGTGAGCTCTGTGCTGAGTTCCTGCTCCTTCAGAAGGGTAAACTGAAGGTCAGTTATTGCTAACAAAGCCAGAAGTGGCCCCTTTCCCACTCTTAAGCTGCTTCACATGAAAAGGCCGTTGGTTTGGCTTGAAGCCCTCTGAGGAAGGAGGAGTGAGGAAGAGGAGGCAGGCTGGCACTCTAAGGCCTCTCTCATTAGCCACCCCCAGGCCCTGTGCTGTCAGGGGCACTTTGCTGCCTCTTGAGAGAACCCGAGGCTCCCACACACCTGTGGAGTGAAGGAGAGGTTGTCATCTGGGTTCCTGTGCGGGGATAAGCCACTGTGTTTACCAATCAAAAACTATGTAGTCAAAAGCCCAAAGGATCCAAGCCCAACTGTCCAGAGTAGTTTCTGAAATAAATGCCATGGGGTTGGGAAGGATGAGAAAGCCAAGTCAGGTGGGCCAGGTTCTCTGAAACATGGGGCAACAGTGACTTGGGCAAAAGCCTGGAACTGAGTGGCTGATAAGGCCAAAATTACTGCCACCACCTCTCAGCATCTATGCGGGGGCAGACATTAGGCAGTGGGAACTGAGGATCTGAGGACTGGAGGGTGCGTGGTGAACACAGGATGGATTTTATCAGAAAGGAGAGGACACCCACACAAGTGCCTGCCCTATTTGACCTGCATGTCCTGTGCCAGGTGAAGGACGCTGGAGCGTGGGTAAGGTTCCTGAGAACAGCTGGTGGGCAGAAAGGGACTGGGATGGGCACTGCTCCGCAAGCAACATTAGGCCTCTGGGGGGGATGCTAATAGTGCTACATCTTGTGGACTGCTGAAAAGTAGGTAAAGAATGGCCTTTATTGCACTTTTTCCTTCTTAGAAAACAGGGGATTGCCCTGCAGAATTTCTCTTTTTGCAGAAATCACTGCAGATCAATAAGATGCAGGCAGAATCACGGCAACCTCAAGGGAAGAAGTCCAGTGACTGGTCTTTTCCAGGGCCTCAAGGGGCCACTCTTGCACCTGGGATCCTCGAGCTGGGTGAACCAGGTCTGGCTTGGTCAATGTGTGGGCAGGCAGACTGGTCAACCGGCAGACACTTGGGACAAGAGGTGGGGTGCCCGGGGAGCTGGGGCAAACTTTCCAAACAGGGAAAATTTCTTGGCAACTGTGCACGTTCTCCAACCAGACTAGAACCACAATTCCCAATTACAATGTGCCTGACTCCTCCCTTTCTCCCACCCTAGAACCGACCACCCCAGGGGAACACAGAAGACCTTGGAGGGTCCTGAGTCCAGCGCCACAGCATTAGACTGGAGATAACAAAAGGAAGGGGTTGGAAACAAAAGAGCAGTTTACATATTGGACGTTGGTTTCGACACAGTCTTTCTGAGCTCAGGAAAATGGAGGCAGATAGATACCACTGGAAAACCTGGCTGTCTGTCTGTCCATCCGTCTCTCTGAGCAGCTCTGAATACTTCATATATAAATGGGGTGGTACCGTTTGTGGTTGATCTTTTTCCTACAAGTTGGGCAAGTATTAGCATTCCTCAGGGAATCACGGAGGCACTGGCTACAGAAGACATGGCCACATTCTGTGGAAACGATGAGACGTCCATTCTGCACAATCTAGAAGGCATTAAAAATAAGAGCCTCTGAGTTTGCCCTTGTCCCAGAGCAGCCACTGTCCCCAGAGAATCCCACCCCTGTCTATGCCTAAGATGACCAATTAGAGGGAAGAGCGAGCCAGGCTGCAGCAGCAACAGGGAGGGGCTCTGGAGAGCTAACTGTGCCTGGAGCTGGAGAGCAGGAGGCAGGGGCTGCGGCATCTCAGCAGTGTGGCAGCCCAAGAGGGTTATGAGGGACCCCAGTAAACACTAGCAGCTTCCAGTTAGAGCCAGAATGGGGGACGCGAAAAGAGGATGCATTTACACCTGGAAGCTCAGGGCATACAGGGGAAGGTGAAAGTTGCAGGGTCCAAGGAGAAACTGGCACATTCTCCCCTCACAGACAGATGTGCAGCAAGGGATGGACCAGGCATGACTGCAAGTAGAGGTGTCAAATTTCACCAAAGCAGAAGATCCTGTCTCACCCAATTCTTTCACTGAAGTTTAGAAACCAGAAGCAAGGAAGATCCAGCCTGGCTTACTTACCTCTGAGTATCCATCCATGCAGATAGGACAACTGACAGTACCAGAGGGCCTAAGATCACAGTGCTTCACATTAGTTTCTCAGTAAATGCAAACATTTCATTATACCCCATAAGTGGCCTTCATGTAAGTGTCCATATCCCCTGCAAGAGTCCCGCCCCTGGCCTCCTCCGACTCTGCTTTAGCATAGGCACCCACGAGACTTTCGGGAAAGCCAACTGCCTCATGGGTATGTGGCAGGGTGAACATAAGAAAGGGGAACAAGAGAAGGTACAGACAACCTGAGCCACCCTGCCCTCCCCTGGGTCCCCACCAGCCCCAGGATCCCTGTCTGGGGCCACTGGGACTGTTTGTGCCCACCTGTTAGTGCTCACATATTCTGGTTACAGTGGGAACAACTGCATTCAGTTCCAGACCCAGTTCCAACTGTATCCAGATGCTGGACAGAAGCTTCGCCCAGCCCTTCCAGGGCCAAGGGCTCACAGATTTACTGAGAAGTATTTCTCTGCCCTGGCCCCACACCCTAGCATGGCGGCAGCAGAGCTGGGGGCATGTCGGTACCTGAGGCCTGCAGCGCCCTCATCCCTGGTGTTTCTGGGAGTGTGGGTAGTCACATACACGTCTCTGTCCCTGGACAACTCTTCATCGTCACTGCTCACCACACAGCTGTCAGCATGGTCCTGGTGTAGCCTCCTAGCATTCCTCCTTGGTCTTCTCCTTTCTAAGGTAAGAGGTCACATTTTCACATTGGAGGCTCGCTGCTCTTACCGTCCTCACCACCCCCATCATGATGCCTCTAAGACCCTCTTCCTTCCTTGCCTGGGACCCCCAGAGAGAAACTGCTGCTGTGCTCAGCTATGCCCCAGAAGGTCCTGCCCTGCTCTGGAGGCCACTGTGCTATCTTCCCAGGAGAAACCCCCCAAGCCCTGTTGTGAGCTGCTGGCCTTCTCCAAAATCTGGTGGGCCACAAGGCAGGATGTAGCTCAGTGCTCAGTGATAGGGGTGAAGTTTTTCTGGCAGGCACAAGGGGGACTGACTGTGTGGGTCTGACCACAGTGTTTGCGTTGGAATCTTCCTGCTTGGAGTGCTCCAAGCCCTTGGGTATAGTCTGGCAAGGCCTGCAGCACCTCAGCTCTCACCTATGCCAGTTTTCTCTCCAAACCCAGGGAAAAAGGAGACAAAACCACTCACCGTCAACAATCTTGTAAAAAGGAAGAGAAAAAAGAGAAACAAGCAATCAGTTTGATATAAGTGATAAATGAAGGCATTTCTTTTTTCTGATATGTGACACCCTCTGCAGAATCCTCTGGTGGGCAGCAGAGGCCCCCCCACTCTTCTCCCACCTGCAGAGAATCTGTGCACCTCTCCCAATCAAGCCCATTTCCCAGGTCACTCCACCTCCCAGCTGATAGGCTGTGCCCATCCCCACTGGGTGTTTAGTGGGGTCTTTGGGAATATGAACACAGCCAGCCACAGCCACACCATGTGCTGGCTGCAGGACCTGGGGACGATCTGAGGGCTGCAGCTTCCTCTTCTGGAAAACAGAGGCACCAGAGCCCATGTCTGACCAAGCTGTTGTGAGGATGCCATGAGGCAGTGAACATTCAGCACAGCACAGCACGGGGGCACCACGCTCTCTTGTGCTGACATGGCTCATGTCAGCAACGACCAAGGTGGAGCCTTGATGTGGAGGAGGATTTGCATTGCTCAGCAGGTTGTTACAAATAACTAACAAAGAAAAGCAGGCTATGCATGGACCAATGGGTGTGACAGACACCAAGGACTGAGATCAACCCAATTCTGTGTCCTGGGGGCCTAAGAATAAACAAGACTAAAAACTTGACAAGCCCCTCACCTGCCAGCTCAGAACTTACATTTAGACGATTTCTGCTCCAACAATTTCAAACTTGGTTCCTCCTGCCTTCTGGCAAAGCGCTCTTACCCATCTAGGGAGGCCAGTAGAACACCCTTTCCCTCTTGCTCAGCATGTAGGAGGGACTGCTTCAGGAAGGTTCTCACTGCCTAAGCCCTACTGCTCACCCCACTCGCCTGTCCCCTGGCAGGACATCCTGCCCCACAGTGTTAAGAAGCTCTCATCCTCTACTCTGACTCCCGTGTAGCCAGGATCCTGGATGTGAATTGGGTACCCTCAATCAGACACACTTGTGCTACTGGCAGGGCAGGAGTGGAGGCTGATTTGGGCTGCCATGGATGCTGGCACTGGCAGGCAGAACTGCATCAAGAAGAAATAGTTCTGGAACAGGCTGCTATGTCTCGAGCCCAGGCCTCTCCTCCCTAGAAAGGATCTGCAATAGTATCTACCTGAGCCCAAAGATGTTAGTGCAGGCGGTAGGCCCCGCCTCCAGACCATCTTGGAGCAGACATAGCAGCTCCCTAGGTGGGTCAATGCTTTGAGGTCAAGAGTTATTCCTGGAGACCCAACCCAGTGATTGCTCATTTAGGATTCTCCTTCCATGTTAAAATCCACTAAGCTTAGGAGTAATTAGACTGGATTTTCCCAAATGGCATCCTGACATACACAAATGGCCATGCAGGCAGGATGCAGGCCTGAGTATAAAGGTCTTTGATTTGTGGTAAGAATATAATCCACACGCATGGAGCCACTTAAAAGTGTTCCCCTTGACTCTCAGAGGAGACTGCAGAAGGTGACAAATCTGGGGACAGTCAGCCTCATCATCAGGACCAATCTTAGCAGGGCTGGCACAATGTACTGTCCACATGAAATCTAGAAAAAGAGGATCTGGTAACAGTTCTGGCCCTTGGAAAAAGCCCTGGATTTAGCTGGGAGCAGAAGGAAATTCTTCTGGGTAGAAATGGCCTCAGCTTTCTACAGCTCCAATATGCCCCTACCCTCTGCCAAGATGGCCCATTAATTAGGTATGGACACCTGGAAGGAGTATGACACCCCCCCCTGGCCCCCAGCAATGAGAGTGTGCATACTGAGTATGGTCTCCTGTGAGTCATACCCTGTTTCCCCCTTGGGAGGTGCAAACTTAAGCCTGTCCTGAGCACGGGGCCCAGGGGTTGCTGGCAAACAGCAGGTGATACACACACAACTACTGTGCTATAAGAACAGGGTGGCCAGAATGTTTCCTCACTGGTAACAATTCTGACTGTGTCTATTTTCAATGAGAGAAAAACAGCTTACAGATGAGGCTTCAGTGTAAGAATGATACCACGGGCCAGGCGCAGTGGCTCACACCTGCAATCCCAGCACTTTGGGAGGGTGAGGCAGGCAGATCACTTGAGGTCAGGAGTTCAAGACTAGCCTGGCCAACATGGTGAAACCCTGTCTCTACTAAAAAAAGAATACAAAAATTAGCTGGGCGTGCTGGCAAGTGCCTGTAATACCAGCTACTCAGGAGGCTGAGGTAGGAGAATCTCTTGAACCTGGGAGGCAGAGGTTGCAGTGAGCCAAGATCGCACCGCTACACTCCAGTACAGTCTGGGTGACAGAGTGAGACTCCGTCTGAAAACAACAACAAAAACAATTAAAAAAAAAAAAAAAAAAAAACCTAAAACTAAATATGGCTGGGTGCAGTGGCTGACACCCAGGTGTGGCAAGGTCAGGTCACACAGATCTACTTCATGGGCAACAAAGCTATAACATGATTTTCTTGAAATAGTTTTCAGTTTGGGTTCTCGTCACTAAATGCATGAGCTTCTTTTGCTATTGTTTTTTTCCTTTTTAAAAATTTATTTATTTTTTTGAGATGGAGTCTCACACTATCGCCCAGGCTGGAGTACAGTGGTGTGATCTTGGCTCACTGCAATCTCTGTCTCCTGGATTCAAGCAATTCTCCTGTCTCAGCCTCTCGAGTAGCTGGGATTACAGGCGCACACCACCACACCCAGCTAATTTTTTTTTTTGCATTTTTAGTAGAGACTGAGTTTCACCATGTTGACCAGGATGGTCTCAATCTCTTGACCTCATGATCTGTCCATCTCAGCCTCCCAAAGTGCTGGGATTACAGTAGTGAGCTACCACGCCTGGCCGTTTTTTCCTTTTTAAAAGTTTGATTCCACAAGATGTCTGAACTTCTTTAGCATAAGTTATAATGCTGACTTGTAGTCTGTGACCAAGGCTGTCAGATGCTGGCACTGGCCAGGGACCCACACCAAAGAAACAGCCGACTCTCACACTCCCAACACTTACCACAACAGAGTCATTGTGAGTCAAGTCAACAACGACGGGCTCTAAAGATTCACAGGTGAGGTCCACAATTTCATCTCCAGCTTCAATAGAAAGTATTTCAACAAGCATTAAGAAGAAAGTAAGGCTGTATCCCTCTACACTTTAGTATGACTGCAAATGTACTACAGGCTTACCCCAAACTAAACTAATCCTGAAGTACACACTGCAAAGAGCACCAGGACCAACATCTCCTGCAGGAGTAAAGGCCAGTAAACACACTTCCAGAATTCTGCTCCAAGAGGGGATGGATGGTTTTGACAAATGTACCAAGGGGGTATGAGTGCACATGTGCACACCTCTATTCCACAGCATCCCAATTCCACACAGCTATGCCTCTGTGCCCACCTGGGAGAAGGCACCATGCATGCTCAGCCCCAGGCCTTTCTCTTTGGGATAGACTGGCCTGAAACCTCTGCTACTCCCAGCAGCGGAAGCAGATCACTCTCACTTGGCCCAGAGACCTAGTCAGGCTTAGCTTAATAACTTTGTCGGTTTATCTGGGGCAAACTTTTTTATCTCCATTTCTCTCTCAAGTGTCTCCCTACTTGGATGGAGAAGAACAGTGGTATTTATTGGTCCCTAGAACCTCAACACACAAAATGGGTTGCATCTGTTGTGAAGCTTGCCTTTCAGCCCTAGGGTACACTGTGATGTCTACATGAACTCAGGATGAAGGTAAGAAGGACATGGACCAAACAGTTAACGTACAACTTCCATTTATGTAAAGTAAAAAATGACAACCATTTTTGTTTCTGATTATTAACATTAAAAAGCAATAAATGGGCCGGGTGTGGTGGCTCACACCTGTAATCCCAGCACTTTGGGAGGCCAGGTGGGAGGATCACTTGAGGTCAGGAGTTCGAGACCAGCCTGGCCAACATGGTGAAACCCCATCTTAAAAAAAAAAAAAAAAAATTAGCAGATCGGAAAAAGGCAATCAATGAAGTTAAGATTTTTAGAAGTAGTAGTGGTGTAATATTTGAGCAAAGTGTCTTGTAATGCATTTAACATATCTTTTTATTTTTTGAGAGGGAGTCTTGCTCTGTCCTAAAGACTGTGGCACGATCTCAGCTGACTGCAACCTTCACCTCCTGGGTTCAAGCGATTCTCCTGCCTCAGCCTCCACAGTAGTTGAGACTACATGTGCCCACCACCACGCCCGGCTAATTTTTTTTTTTTTAAGTAGAGACAAGGTTTCACCATATTGGCCAGGCCGGTCTCGAACTCCTGACTTCAGATGATCCACCCACCTCGGCCTCCCACAGTGCTGGGATTACAGGTGTGAGCCACTGTGCCTGGCCTACGTACCTTAACTTCTTTTGTTTCCCTTTGAGGCGGGGTCTTGCTGTTGCCCGGGCTGGAGTGCAGTGGCATGGTCACAGCTCACTGCAGCTTCAAAGTTCCAGGCTTGTGTGATCCTCCCACCTCAGCCTCCCACATCTGGCTAGTTTTTTTATTTTTCTTGCTATGTTGTTGTCCAAGCTGGTCTGGAACTCCTGAGCTCAAGCAATCTGGCCAATCTGTTTTATTTTCTTGTATCACAAAGTTTCACAAGAATAAAAACCATGATAATCTTAGATGTACAATATAATTTATATAAAGACCACCGCATTCTTTATTAAAAAGAAGGGCTGTCCAACAGTCCATATACTGATATACAATAATTTACTGAACCCTTCTCTTTCTGGTGAACACAACTCTGAGCTCTTACAAAAACAGTGCTCTAATGGGCAGCCCTAGGCACACACCCTTGCACAGGGGTGAGACTGCCTTGAGGATAACGCATACCACGCTGAAAAGCAGCTGGTTCCTTTCTGGTCTAGAGACAGAGTCCTAGCCTCTAGTGAAATAAGTCGAAGCATTTAAGAACCCACTTGTAGATGTGAAACTCAGAGAGCACAGAGAACTTTACTACTCTTGGGGGGGGGGGCGCCCATTTTGCACTACGTTGTTTCTCTTTAAAATGCCAGCTTGCAGGTATCCCAGTTATAAAAACAATATAGGCAGGTCAAAGGCACTTAACTCAGGCTGGCCATCAAGCACTTCTTGAGCAGGCAGAAAGGGGAAATCCAATCTGTCCTCTAAGTTCCAACACAGGGAGCTCTGTGGACAGATTTACCTTCTTGGGTGATTTTATGTCTTAATGAAAAACAGAAGAGGAAAGCCAAGTACTTTACAAGGTCAAGTGAATTGGGAGATGCGATTTCAAATAGAAAAGGTGGGCCATCTCATTTGCACTGCAGATTTTTCCTTTTCCTTTTTATTTACTTATTTATTTTTGAGACGGACTCTCGCTCCATCGCCAGGCTGGAGTGCAGTGGCACAACCTCAGCTCACTGCAACCTCCGCCTCCCGGGTTCAAGCAATTCTCCTGCCTCAGCTTCCCGAGTAGCTGGGACTACAGGCACACGCCACTACACCCAGCTAATTTTTGTATTTTTAGTAGAGACGGGGTTTCACCATGTTGGCCAGGATGGTCTCGATCTCTTGACCTCGTGATCCAATGCGCCCGGCAAATTTTTCTTTTTTTAAGATGGGCCGCTGAGTTGTAAATGGTGAGTGTGAGACTGCATAAGCCTTCTAAAGACACTGAAAGCAACTTCTAATAGCTCACCCTGCTACAGTGTTACCTCTCCACCTTAACACCCCACAGTTGTAGTGCCCCTGGCAATCTTACCAGTTTCCACAAGTTCTATGGGTTCTGCTTCCAAGGAAATCTCCGGGGTGGAGGCTGCTTCCCGAGTTCGCTTCTGGGCTTGTCTAGAATTTATTGTTCCACCACGACGCTTTCTCTGAGTAGCAAGGAGGAAAAAATAGTCACATGACCACCAGAATGTCAGGGTTTCAGGAAGAGCTAAAAGGGCAACACTAGAAACAGTTCAACTCAGTAAGAAGCCAGTGAGTAGACTTGAAGTTAGAGCTCCTTTCAAAACTTGAGATTCCAGAATACTGAATGCTTACAGAGAGAGAAAATCATCCAAAACATACAATGAGTAGAAATTCTAGAAAGTAAAACTTCTGTTATATCAAACTATCAGCAGGTCAAAAGGGACATGATGCATCCCTTTACAAAAGCTTGGTAGTGGATGCCCTGGCCAAAAGGCTGGAAACCTTTCCCTTTAACCAAAAGTTATCAATTTCTCTTCCTTGACTTTGTGTTCAGCCTTATTAAGCCCTTTTTGTTTCTTAAAGAACTTCAAGTTTTCTGAGTTTCTATACCTTGTGGAAAGCTTATCTTTCCTTGGGAAATGTGGCCTTGAACCTTTCAGGATATTATCAAGTGTGATTCACACCAGACAATCATTTCCCACAAAGAACTCAAAGAACCAAAGCTTTTTCAAGCCTGTTCCCAGTGGCTGCCCAAGAGCCATGTCTTCCAGAAGGCTTGTCTTCCAGGCTTTCAACTGGTGGATCTACAAATGACACTGACCAGCCTTTCTTCCACATCCTTAGGGCTGCTGGTTTGCCAATATGCTCCAGCATTTCTGGTCTGGCTGGTTCCAAAAGATGAGCTGAGAACATCCTCTACCTTCATCAGGGGACAGGCCTTCCCAACAGAGCCTGTCGCCTTGTTATTCCCACTGTGTGTTTCCGTGCTGTTCTCCCCTCTGCCCTGTCCTGCTCTCCTTTGCACCTGACCACCTGGGACAGGTACTGCACTACTAAGTCTCAAGTTCCTCACCAGTACCAGCCTTGCACAGCTGTTATAAGGACTAAATAAGATCATTATACAAAGTACTGTGCAGAGATGGATGATGCCACTAATGACCCAATTCCTTAGCCTTACTGGGGTCATTCTGACCCAGGAAACTCTGAAAGGACCAGATACTGAAGGTGAGATTCATATAAGACCCAGGAACACGCACCACACAGCCAAGCCTTTGCTAGGCAACAGGGCTAAGCCTAATTCTTTGTGTTCCAATGCTACTCTATCAAATGACAGCTTGAGATATTTTGGAAATGAAGCTGGGTATAGCAACTTCTCATGGACTAAGGAGCACAGAACCAGCCTCAGGAGGGCCCAGCGGCCAAGTGACAGCAGCAGCTCAAAGTGAGCAGCTGCTCTTTGCCTCAAGGGAGCTGACACTAACCTCAGGGGAGTTCTACTGCCCAGTGCTTTAAGGGTTTCTCCAGCAGCCACCAGGTTACTTAGGACTCTTTGTATTTACCCGCTTCTCTTTGACAACGTCCTTGTAGCCTCCTTTCCTTGCAGCAGACCAAGTCTGTCTTACTAGACACTGCTAAGGAGATCTTCATGCCCTACACGGCTACCTGTGTGGTTTCTGGGTCCCATGGAGGGAGCCAAAAAGGCAGCCATGGGTCCTGGACCCTAAATCTTCTTGCATGGGTAATTAAAGGAATGTCCCCACCCCTCCCTAACCCCAGGAATCCTCTTTCCTGTCTGTTCCTCCATGCCTTTCACCAGAGCTTCTTCCCTACCTGGAGTGCCCATCCCTCCCTTTCTTCACTTGGCCAATTCTTGCACAGCTTTCCAGAATCCACTTAAATGTCACGGCCCTCCTGAGGACATTCTTCACCCTCCCATTCTACTGTCTCTGAGCCTCCTCCTCCCAAATAGCTTCTCTGTACCACTCAGGACAGGCTCAGTAAGTCCAGGAATATTTGCAGAGCTCTCCCCTCTTGCCCTCCCATAATTCTGCTCATGACTCTCCTCCTTTTAACTAGCAGGGCCCTCCAAGGTCTGTAGCTTCTAGTGGAAACTGACCATCTAATCACAACCACACCATAATTTCAGGAATTTTAACCAATTTCTTCACGCACACTTATAAAAGGCTACATTCTTTTGCCTGTTCTAATCCACCCTAGGCAGAGATGGGGCTTCAGAGGTAAGGCTTAGAACATCCATCTCCCTACAGGTGAGCTACGTGGTAATCTGCAGGTGAAGCACCAAGGTGGGAGGGAGGTCAGAGAAACAGGCTTTTTTGTGTATCACATCAAAAGTGGGCCTTGGAGCACAATGGGGGCCAGGCATGGTCTGGAAGTAACAGAAGAGGGTGAGGACCCAAAGGGGTCAGAGGTTGAGAGCAGCATTTCCATCACCGTTCCTTCTTAGAACTGTTTGTTCAGCCCCATCCTGCCCCCACCATCCATCTTTCCGTACCATTCACAGCACCTCTGGAGCACTGCAAGACATTAGCAGGCTATTTCAAATCTGGTCTGTCTGATACGGAATTCAGGATCTCAGAAAACATTTGTTTTGAGTTTAGATCATTTGATCAACCTTGCAGAGGGAACTTTGTCAGTAGAGAATAAACTGGGACAGGGGGACTTTCAGGCAATCTCCTCTAGAGCTAAAGGGGTTCCAGGTGACACCTGAGTTACACCACACCAGAGGTGCCTCACAGATGTGATAAAAGCTCTAGACAGTCTGGGTATGGTCACTCACTTTGGGAGCCCGGGTGGGAGGTCTGCTTGAAGCCAGGGGTTCAAGATCAGCCTGGGCAATAAGGCAAGACTCCATGCCTACAATTTTTTTTTTTCTGAGACAAAGTCTTACTCTGTTGCCAGGCTGGGGTGCTGTAGCGTGATCTTGGCTCAATGCAACCGCCGCCTCCCGGGTTTAAACAATTCTCCTGCCTCAGCCTCCTGAGTAGCTAGGACTATAGGCGTGCACCACCACACCCAGCTAATTTTTGTATTTTTAGTAGAGGCGGGGTTTCACCATGTTGGCCAGGATGGTCTCAATCTCTTGACCTCGTGATCTGCCCACCTGGGCCTCCCAAAGTGTTGGCATAACAAGCGTGAGCCACCGCGCCCAGTTTTTTTTTTTTTTTTTTTGCCAAGCACAGTGCATGCCTATGATCCCAGATACTTAGGACGCTGAAGTGAAAGGGTTGCTTGACTTCAGGAGTTGGAGATTGCAGTGAGCTATTATCACACTGCTGCACTCCAGCCTGGGCAACACTGTAAGCCCCTGGCTCAAAAGACAAACAAAAGCTCTACACAGTAATTATGACGAATCAACTTGGGTCACTGAATCTAAGAAACTTTTCACTATGGATTACTACTATCATGCTCACACTGAGCCAAGAACGTCACAGGGAAATAAAGTAGAAGGGAAAACTGAAAACGGGGTTGCAAATACTTTTATTTATTTACTTTGTAGAGACAGGGTCTCACTCTGTCATCCAGGCCGGAGTGCAGTGCGTGTGATCATAGCTCACTCTAGCCTTGAACTCTTGGCATTAAGGAATCTTTCTGCCTCAGCCTCCCAAGTACCTGGGGCTAATTAAAAAAGAAAAAAAAATTTCCTCCTGGGCACTCTAGGAACAAAAAAAAAAAGAAAGAAAAGAAAAAAAATTTTTTTTTTTTTTTTTTGGTAGAGATGGAGTTTCCCTATGTTGCCTTCACTGGTCTTGAACTCTTAGGCTCAAGTGATCTTATTGTCTCAACCCCTTCAAGTATTGGGATTACAGCTGTAAGCAACCATGCCCAGTCTACAAATAATTTTTAAAACCAACAAGTCAAACGGCCTGGTCCAGTGGCTCACATCTGTAATCCCAGCACTTTGGGAGGCTGAGGTGGGCGGATCACAAGGTCACGAGTTCAACACCAGCCTGACCAATGGACAACCAGTTGAACCCTGGAGGAAGAGGTTGCAGGGAGCTGAGATAGCACCACTGCACTCCAGCCTAGGCAAAAAACAAAACAACCAAACCCAAAAAGTTTAGTATTTCTATGTTACTGACAATTGCTCGGAAGGCCTGAGACTTTCAAACCCTAAGCTACTCCTTCTCAGAGTTCTGTCTTGAGGACACTGCCCTTTACGACTGGAATTTAGCTCAATAAGTAACCTGATGTAACTACCAGAAAGATTCTATACATAGTCCTTCAAGAACTAGGTTACTTAGAAGTGCCATTATGAAACTCACTTTCATTAACGTGCTACAAGCAAGACGGTAGTTAGCCCTAAAAAAATTAAAAATTCAAGAGCTGGTAAAACTTACTGTACTCATTGTGCTCTTTGGTGCCAATGTACAGAAAAGGAAGTGATCTATGCCAAGGTTTGCAGGGAAGTCAAGTGTTCTCAACCTTTCATGCCCTCTGATTACTCATCTGGCTTGCAGAAGAATTTGGATCTGGGCAGATTTCCAGTATTTTCAAGTCCTGAAAAACAGAGATATCAATAAGATCAATGCTGCCACTTACATCACTGATAACAAAGCTCTGTTCAATAATGTACTGGTCCTTTCTGTTACTAGGTTCTTTGTGGAATATTTTACGTAATGACATCCTTAATTCTATATTTATCTCAGGAAGTAAGCATTATTGTCACGTACAGGACTTCCTGATCTCAAAGCCCGTGGCTGTAATGGTTATGCCACCTCCTACCCTTCTTTCCAGCTCCTGCCATCCTGGCAAGGTACTGTGCTAAGTGCTGGGAAGAGGCAAAAGTCAGCACTTCCACACATGGCCACACCAAACCCTCAGCAAAGGGGAGGGAAGGGACCGAGCTTCTGAGCCAAGCAGAGCCCAGAGCCTCAGGCTCTTCCCACAGTTTCACTGTCAGAATCGAGGAGACAAGAGCCACTCAAGGCATTCTGTGTGTCCAACTGAGCCTGTGTCACTGGCACAGGTGAATGGTGAACTGGGAGACTGCGGACTGGAAAGCCAAGTACAAGGTTTGAGGAAATGTAGAGAAATCATCAGAGGCAGAAGCTGAGAGGCCCTCAGATTAAATTCAGGGACCCACTGAGAAGTGAGGCTGACCACGGTAAACTCTGTCAGTGACGCAATGCATAATGGAGCCACGAGCCCTGGGCACAGGGCAAGGTTGAGGGACTAACAAAGAGCCAAAGCAAGGATAAGACCCTTGTGGTCACCCACTGCTGGGTGCTAGTGGCTTAGACTTAGTGCTAGGACAGTGCATCACAAACATGGGCCTGCATCAGGCTCTCCCACAGCCCACAGAGGGCTTGTGAAGCACAGGCTGCTAGGCACCCCCCAATTTACATTTCTAACATGTTCCCAGGAGTTGCTGCTCCAAAGACCACACCATGGAACACACTGAAGTAGCATAATGAGATGGAGTTGCAAAGTAGACGTAGGTGAGAGACCCAGGTGGCAGAAACGACAGGAGCGCTCTCACATCCACCCTTCTGTGCATCCCCAGTGCTGCCTTGTCACATTCCTCCAAACCACGACCGTACCTGCTCATACTGGGTCTCCTTCCCTGGGTACCTATCTATCCTACTGCCAGCCCATCTTTCCAAAACAGTTTGCTGCAGCAACTTTCCCTGGCACCTTATGAAGGCCTAATTCCTAAGCATGGTGTATGAAGCCTGGTTGGCATTCAAATTACAGCACATCTCTTGAGCAAGGCAACTGGGATTGAAATCCAGGCACTGGCTGGGCACCGTGGCTTACACCTGTAATCAGGAGTTCGAGACTAAGCCTGGCCAACATGGTGAAACCCCATCTCTACTAAAAAATACAAAAAATTAGCTGAGCGGGTGGTGGACGCTTGTAATTCCAGCTACTCGGGAGGCTGAGGCAGGACAATCTTTTGAATCTGGGAGGTGGAGGTTGCAGTGAGCCAAGATTGTGTCAGTGCAGTCTAACCTGGGCAACAAGAGTGAAACTCCATCTCAAATAAACAAAAACAGGCTGGGCGTGGTGGCTCACACCTGTAATCCCAGCACTTTGGGAAGCTGAAACGGGCAGATCATGAGGTCCAGAGATCAAGACCATCCTGGCCAACATGGTGAAACCCCGTTGCTACTAAAAATGCAAAAATAATTAGCCGGGCGTGGTGGTGTGTGCTTGCAGTCCCAGCTACTTGGGAGGCTGAGGCAGGAGAATTGCTTGAAACCGGAAAACAGAAGTTGCAGTGAGCTGGGATCATGCTACTGCACTCCAGCCTGGTGATAGAGTGAGACTCTGTCTCAAAAACGAAAACAAAAAATCAGGCACCCAACCTGTGACCTTGGGGCATGGCACTGAACTTCTCTGTGCACCATTTCCTTATCTATTGAACAGAACTGCACCTGCCTCAAGGGTGTGCGAGGATTCCAGAAGTTATTATAAGAGAATGTCTAGAACAGTTCAGGCACACTGTAAACGCTCAGTGTTTGTGGGCTGACACATACCCATCACCATACTCAGCCCCCCAGCACCAGGCTGGCAGTCTCTACAAATACACCTTCCCAGTGCCCAGCTCCAACCTGCTCAAGTCCTACAATGCTGTGTGATAAATCCCACTCGGCTTTTTTTTTTTTTTTTTTTTGAGATGGAGTCTCCTCTATCACCTAGGCTGGAGTGCAGTGGCATGATCTCAGTTCACTGCAACCTCCACTTCCTGGGTTCAAGTGATTCTCCTGCCTCAGCCTCCCAGGTAGCTGGGACTACAGTTTCGTGCCACCACACCTGGCTAATTTTTGTATTTTTAGTAGACACAAGGTTTCACCATGTTGGCCAAGCTGGTCTCAAACTCCTGACCTCTGGTGATTCACCTGCCTCAACCTCCCAAAGGCTGGGATTCTAGGTGTGAGCCCCCGCGCCTGGCCTCCCACCCAGGTTTAAGAAGGGGCTGCATACCTCCTGTCTCATTAACAGTACAGCCCCTGCCCTGGGAATACAGCAATGAGTAAACACAGCCTCTGTACGGAATCTAGTGGAGATAGAGGGGTGAGGAGGGTGCTGGTGGGCAGCTGTAACTGAGTTAGGAACTAAGCATGCAAGAAGTACAGGAGAAGGGGAGGCCAGAGCAGGTTTCTCAGGAGATGCCCAAAGATGCCGCCAGTCCCAGCTGAGCTGGGGATTTTCTTCAACACTTGGTGGTCTGACTCTGAGAAAATGGCATACTGTGAGTATCTCACTCCCTTAGCACCTCATTCTCCAGCTTGACCTGAATGGTTTGGAGCTGAAATTCCCTTCACTGTGTTAAAAGGGTAACTTGCATCTCCTTAGGCTGGCCCATACTATGGGACTACAGGTGCTCTCACCAGAATGCACAAATGGGCCAGGCACAGTGGCTCATGCCCTGTAATCCCAGCACTTTGGGAGGCTGAAGGGAGAGGGTCTCTTGAGTCCAGTAATTGTAAACCAGCTTGGTTAACATGGCGAGATTCTGCCTCTACAAAAAAATTAAAATTAAATTAAAAAACTAGCAAGATGTGGTGGCGGACACTTGTAGTCCCAGCTACTGCAGGGGCTGAGACAGTAGGATCACTTGAGCCCAGGAGTTCTAGACTGCAGTGAACCATGATTGCACCACTGCACTCCAGCCCAGGCCACAAAGTAAAGTCCCTTAAAAAAAAAAAATGCACAAATGCTTCCCAAAGCAACACCTCACCTGGTAAGTGTTCAACTTTAAACAGACATTCAAGGAAGAGGTTCTGGCTAGGCCAAGACTAGCTGGTTTGAACAGAGGTGGGAGGTGCCCTGACATCACCTTAGGACTCAAGGCCATTCAGACCACCACAGCCCCAGATCCACCACATGTCCTGGGTTCTAATATCCACAAATGTTTCTGATGCCAAGAAATATCTTACATTTGGGTGCACACCTGTAACATAGGGGCTTTTTTTTCCACTGGAAAATTATCCACATCAACAGTGTATCTCAGAATTTAGAAGAGACACATGCCACTGACGAAGGCAGATAGGGAGATCAGCCTGGAGAGCAAAGGGAAACACCTGAGGCCCACAACCGGGCTGTTCTCAAGCCTCTCTCCTCCCATTTCGTTGCTATCGAGGCTTCCAACTATTGCTGAAGATGTCCTTTGTGGCTGTACTGGCCTGCACACCCCTCACCACTCTGAAACCAGCCTCCTGCATCCCTAATAATGGCCCAGCTAGACCATTATTACTTCCCTGCAAAGCCATCTGGAGCTTCCTCATTCTCCATGCACTGGCCCATACAGCAATTTGTTTTTCTCTCTTCTGGGTTTAGTAAGTGTCAGGAGTCAAAGCTGGAAGGAATCTGGAAGGCTGGCCTTAGGGAAATCCATCAAGGGGCTGGATTTCACCAGGGCACTGAAGTGAGACAGGAGTATTCCCGGCAGAGCATCCCCAGGGTGGTGGGAATATAAAAATGCAGAGTGAATGGAGACCTACGGGGTCATGGGAAAGTAGCCCTCACCAACTACAAAGGGTTCTGAATCATGCAGGTGAGGGAGTCCAACGGAATAAGAAACTAACAACAGCTGAGCGGTGCCTTCTACACATACTCACAAGGCACTGTGCTTCCCAAATATGAATGTCACCCATGTGCTCCCCACATCACCCAGTAAAGAAACAGGCAACTGTTGCGGTCCCTATTTTACACATGAGGCAACTAAGGATTCTCAGGAGTTAAGTAACTTGCCCAAAGTCGTCCACACCTAGCAAACAGAGCCTAGACTTAAACCTCCTCAAATAGGTACGTTAGTGGCAGAATCAGATACATTAATTCTAGAAAGGAACACTGACGGTGATTTTCAGATTACTCAAACTTAGTGTGTTCCAAAGGAACCCCTGCCTCCTCCTTCCGCCAACAGGTACTCCATTTTAGAAAGGGCGCCAGCACCCTCCAGTCTCTCGTCCAGTATGCTCTCTCACTTACGTAAGTGCTACAAGGACAGGGCTATTTCTACTTTGTACCTAGCCACGACCTTGCACAAAGCAGATGCTCATATTTACTGGAGGAATATATGAAGGTAAGAGTTGGGTGTTGATGGCGCCCCCACCACTAAGAAAAGAGGAGATGGGGTAGAGAAGTGGTCATGTCTGACTGGTCAGGAGAGCCAGGTGTTAGGGATTCCTAAAGCTTCCAAGGTGAAGGGAGAAACAAATCATGCCAAGATGTCTAGCTTCTTAATCTACCAGAGTGATGCCACAAAACCAAATGAGGGAAGGGAGAATACAACAGATGCTGAGGGTAGTTTTAGAAAAGCTAGGTGTGAGATAGCAAGGGAGAAAGGACCACAGGTAGCTGCAAACTCCAAAGTGAGAACTGGAATGGATGTCGAGATTTCAGAATGTGTGAAAACTTGGGAAGGTGGGTAGATAAGGTCTGTAAAAGAGAATTTTTAAAAAACTTATTTATTTACTTATCTTTTTTGAGACAGAATTTCGCTCTTGTTGCCCAGTCTGGAGTGCAATGACACGATCTCGGCTCACTGCAAC